CCTTTAATTTTAATGTCATTTTGATCTTTACATCTGCATTGCCCTATCTGCCAAACAAAGCAGAGATCTTTGCTACTGTCACTTGTTTCCTTAAGATTAAAAAAATAAAAAAAGCATTGGTGAGGAGGATTAGAGGTAAAGTTTTGTGGGCAGCAGCAGCATTTACATTTTCAGACTACTTCAGTTGGCAACTCTGATAGGTTTTTGAATTTAGTTTTTGTTTATCTAAACTATCTGCTGGAATCCTCTCAGACTTTGATTTTGATTGGTGGTCCCTTTAGTATCGGTATGCAGAGTTTTCCACACAGAATGAATAACAAAAATGAGTCAACAGAATCCTTTCTATCCATTCAATTGCAACATCAAAAAGGAGCTCAAAAAAGCCCTATTTTCCTTGAATCTGAATCTGCGTTGTGACATGCTAGAAGCTGACTCAAATTCTGCAGCTAGAGTCTGCTCCTGTTCTCAGAAAATTTCTTCAGGTGAAAAAGGGGGAGATGGTTGGAAGGAAGCCTGTTTCTTTTAATCTTATCTAAGCACTCCTGAAAGGAGTTACAACTGAAGATAAGGGATGTTGAGTCATGTATGTTTTCTGTCTTACAGTTCTTACCATGTATGGGGAATGATCCCATTTCTACAACACCAATTTTTAGCTACTGCAATTCTAGCATCTTTACAAGAGATGTTCCTGATAAGCACAAATATGAAGAGAGCCAGACATAGTCATAACATTTGACTGTGACAGTAATATTAAGGCTACCATCTACTGCCACTGCAATGCCAAGTGAAGAAAAAAAAAAAAAGCCATGCTTGGCCTTTGAAGTGATCTTTACTTCAGCTGCCCCAGGCTAAAAGGGTTTAAGGGGAAGAGGAGAAATTTTTCCTGATCTCTGAGGTGACATTTAACAGACCTGGAAAACAGACATTGACTACAAGGGTCTACTCAGGAAGGCCTATGGCATGAATGACTTCCAAAAGCAAATACAGCAGTAATGCATTCAGTACACTTAACATCTCATTCTTTGATGGAGGACTTCTTCCTTTTTGACTTTATCTTCCTCTTGATAGTAACCATTACCAACAGGGCTGAGATGGACCAAATACCTAACACAGTGATGACTTCAGCTAAGAAACACAGTACTCGATCTTACATCAAAATCCTTGTAAACTCTGCAAATTCCTCCTGCTTGCATTTGGCAGAGTAACTGTCTTAACTATGCCACAGCATGCTTTATATTATACAATGATCAAAACCAGGAGCAAGCACTTCTAGTTTAGGCAACTTCACTTTTCTATTATTATTATTTTAAAATCTTTTCACTAGAATTTTATATATTTAAAGTATATATATATTTCACTCCAGACCAGAGTTCTCAAGAGGTTCTCAAGCCAAGAATGCAAGAATGTCCAAGATCCACTGCTTTGCATCACACTAAAAGCACTACAAGCAACAGGCGCTGCAGGTATAAGTGGTTGTTGCAGTGCCTAGGTCAGGCTTCGTGAGCATGCAATAAAAAAATACTACTGTTTTCTTTAACCTAACCTGTATCATCCATCTTCTCTCAATTCCCAGTTACAGCTTAGAAGCATCATCCCAGAACTCAGCAACCTCTATATAATTCATGGAAGTGAGTTTTAAAACATGTTTTTGCATCTCTGTCCAACAGCGCCCCCAGCACCTCTTATCTCTAGAAACCAATGTGAAGCTATCAAAGATAACTCCACAAAAAAACCCACTAATTTGTAAGATATGAACCTGCAGCTGACAAGCCACATAAAAACCTGCGTAGTTAGAACACAGAAGATACAGTGCTTCAGAAACCTGCTCACAGAAGGTACTTCAACATTCTAATATTCAGCTTACATGTATTTGAAGTTATCTCAATTTAATGTAAAGTCTCAAGAATGTAAGAAATCGAGTTTCTTAACTTAAATGGAAATATAGTTTCTTAACGTTAACTGTGAGGAACATTCCTTCCCAGTTATGTTAGCCTTGTCAATACTACTGCCTCACTCTTGAAAAGCAGTTTAATCAAGGGAAAAAACTTCCTGAGAACATAAGCAGTAAATGCATGTAATTAAAAGCAGTGGGGGAAGGAACAGACTGGCAGGCTACCTTTGGATCTCCAAAAAAGACAGGAAAGCTGAGCTTGTAATGTGCTCATTTTAGAAAGATTCTGAAATTAATTTAAGTAGTATTATACCGTATGCATTCCCTTGAACTTGATTATACCTTTCTGAAAGTCTTCATTCTCTGAGACAATTCAAAAGAAAATTTTAACCCTGAAGACATTACAGAATATTTTGAATCAGCATTTTCATTTTAGCTGAATCATTCCCAAACAAAGCCTGGAAAAACTGATTTACTATTACTGGATGCTCCCCAAGTCTAAGTAATTTTTTTATCTCCCTGTCTGTCAGGTGGAGATATGAGCAATGTAAGGAGATGTAATACAGCCTTAGATATGTATTGTTATATGCAATATCCAAAGCTCAATTAAGAATACCTTTGGAAAGACAGTGTAGAAATGTTATTTTCAAAAAAAACTTTATTTTCTGCACTGCAGAACAACTGAAGCTTTCCAAGTGGTTTTCAGAGAGGGCTGAGGTCTGTCACATGAGGTTAACTCTAAAAAGGACTAAGCTCTCATACAAAGGAAGAGTGCATGCAAAGGGCAGTAATACACTATGCAGGCTAGGTTAACCAACAAAGGCTGTATCTCAGGCATTCCAGCAGGCAATGCTATTTATACAAAAGATCTTAAACACTACCTCTACCACTCCCACCACCCTTTTTCCTCTACTTCCAGGACACCTCTGGTAGCCAACACTCCATTACAGGCCCGTGCTTGCTCAGCAGTTAATTTACGACAACATTCCACAGCTCAGGCAGGAGGAAAGATCAGCTATTCCATTCTACACCTATGCAATCAATAGGTAAAGTATAATGCCCAAACAGGTCATTCTACAGAAAAACCACAACTATATAACCACCACATTACATGTTTTGGTCTCTTTTTGAAGTGAAGGGGCCATATTCACAGCAGTGTTACTGCTACATGACAGATCAATTTCCAAAATTTTTTAAAAAGGAAGTGTTTTAGTCAAAGTGCTGATACTAATAGCTTTACTCTACCAGGCATGTCAAAAGCAAAGCTCTGCAGTCAGCAACGCTTCCAAAACGTTCATTCTTGAGTCAAGACTGACACCCAGTGGCCATATCTTTTAACTGGTTTTGGTACTGACCGGATTTTTAAGAATTGAGATTTCACAGTGAGATTCTACCCCAGGCTTTCAGCCTTCACTTCCAAAAACCACTTGAAAAGCCTCAGTTTTTCTATAGCATACATAGTATAAAAATAAATCAGATCAAAACTCACACTATATATAAACTTGTTTCCTTAAGAGCATCTAACAAGTCACATGTTTTGTAGTAATTATGCAAATGCATTTAACAAGTTTAGATTGGGCTTTAAAAAAAAAAATAAAAATGTATAGAATCTAGTCCCACCTCTCTAATCATTATGGTTAATAATAGATGATAACACCAGGAGAGTAGAAAGAAATTTTTATATTAAAGCACTGTGATAGGTTAACTACTTCAGAAATGGGCATCTATTTTCTGTATATCTACATAATCCTATTTACAAGGATTACAAACTGCAAGCATGGTATTAGATTCCAGCATTACTGACTAATCAGTGACTGATTTCACTTGACACAACATTAATATACAGGTTCTAGGCACTGAACTTCAACCTAACACCAAGGGCAGTAGTTTTCTCATGGAGGTAGAGTATACAACACATTTAAAATGATCACAGATGGAAAAATATGAGTTTACTTTCTATAGCTCACTTCTTTTACTCAAAAGCATTGATACCATAATAGACACCTATGTTGCTTTTGGCTGGGGTAGTTCTAGTTTTCCTCATAGTAGCTACTATGTGTCTATGGCTTGGATTTGTGCTGATAACACAGGGAAGTTTTCGTCACTGCTGAGAAGTGCTTACAGAGTCCAAGTCTTCTCTACCTCTCACCCCATGCCACCAATGAGCAGGCTGGGGTTGCACAAGAAGCTGGGAGGGGACACAGCCAGGACAGCTGACCTCAACTGGCCCAAGGGATACACCATACCATATGGCATCATGCTCAGCATATAAAGCTGTGAGAGGAAGAAGGAAGGGGGGCACATTCAGTGATGGTGTTTGTCTTCCCAAGTAACCATTATGCATGATGGAGCCCTGCTTTCCTAGGGATGGCTAAACACCTGCCTGACCATGGGAAGCAGTGAATGAATCCCTTGTTTTGCTTTGCTTGTGCACACAGCTTTTGCTTTACCTATTAAACTGTCTTTATCTCACTTTTATTCTTCCAATTCTCTCCCTGATCCCACCAGGGTGGCAAGACAGTCACTGGATGTGTGAGGTTCAGTTGCCAGCTGGGATGAACAACCCACACAAGTCTGTTTTGACTCGGGGAGTATCATTAAACCTGAGAGACAGGTAAGTCACATAAGTTTGTGAGATACTTCAAAATAAAAAGGCTTATTTTATCCTCCATCAAAGACACAAGCTGTTACAATTTTGTCCCTGCATTGTGCCTTGACAGACATAACCACATAGAGTTAAGTTTTCAGCTTATCCAAAGATGGTATGGATGAGTTTTGCAATACTAGCAACAAGCTCATTCTTTATCATTTGCCCCATCTTTGGTAAATGCTCAGCAGCATGACCCTTCAATATGGCAGAATGATGCAAATATCATTAGGCTATCATGACAACTGCTTATTATTTCACTATCAGCAGTTTAGCAAATGCATTCAAGCCCTAAAGCAGACATAACCAGACTAACAGAATGAGATTCTCCACTAAAAGGTGGGAAAGTATCAACAATTCAGCAAAGTTGTGTTTTATCTCTTAAAATACAACTTTGATGGACTGGTGTTACTATTTTACCAGCTAAAACACCTGAGAATCACTTCTTTCAGAGATAGTACGTTTCTCATAACCAGTAAAAACTTCAATACCCTGAAAAGTCTGAGACAAAAGTCTCTGAATTTTGAGTATGAGCTGCAGTTAGTTTTCCTTAGACAGTGTATGAGTTTCAAAAATAGTAATAGTATCTTAAAATTATGTGCAATCCTATTTGGAGGAGATTATGCAAATAAATCCTCTCTCAAAATCATTTTAAATGGAATGTGAATACTGCACATGATGCCAGTTATGAAGTGTCAGTTGCTTAATCTGAAGTTATGCCAGCTTCCCATATGAATAGTAACAGGAGAAAGCAGCAGAGGCACAAACAAGCTACCAGGAGAATTTTATTTAGAGTGCAACCCCCACCATAGTACTCATAGTCTATAGGATTATGTGCATCATTTCCAGTGAGGAATCCAGGAGAGCTATTGCTGAAAAGATACCCAGTTCATCAACAGCACAGGATAGCAGTACTGTGGTGGCTTCTATACATCCAAATATCTGCAGGTGGGTCAATTAGATCACCTGCTTAAACACAAACCACTTTGAAATAAGCCATTCAGAGTACCAGTAGTTCTTGTTAATTTTTATTTTTTCTATTGCTCTTTAAAAGGCATAGGATAACAGCATGTGGATTTAAAAAACACTAGCAGTCACATAACACTGGAGTACAAAATTTACTATATCTGTACCATGTATACCTGGTGCAAAATGTTACATTTACTTTTACTATATGTAAATTGGGTTGCTAGAAGCTTGCTACTGATACCAATAAAGGTGCAAAGGTCCTTTCTGTGTAGCAGTTATTCTTTCCTGCACTGGGTCCATGTCTGTAGCTGGCAGTGGCTGATAACCTAGAAGAGATATATACCTGGGAAAGTGCAAGGACACAAAACTATCCTTTTGTCCTCCCTGTTCTTGAGTAATATACACAACTGAAAACTTACTACCACTATCGCACATTCAATCAGCAATTACATGTAAAAATAACACAAATAATTTTGAAACACTATTTTTATTCAGTAGCCAAGTACCCTCAACTTCTATAAGCACACAAGCCATTGATATTTTCAAGGCATCTTGTTACTGCTGTGGTATTAATTAATCTCTGCATAGCTCTGGAAACAGGGAACATCTTCCTGTCTCCTTTTGATATCCAACAAGGACTCCATAGCCTGAATTGAGGGAGAAAACACTCCTTTAAGAGTGATACTCCTATCATTTGCACAAAGAGTATTTGAGAAATCACTTGGATTACTTGCAAAAATTACTTCCAAATTTTTTTTCCATGTCTACACTTCAAAATGTCTGCACTTCAGAGGTAAAGCAGACAAGTTCCACTATGAAGTAAGGCCTTGAAGTATATACTACTCTGACTGCAGTGGGCAATAATAAGGTTCATGTGGCAATTAAAGTATATAAAGTCATGCTAGCCTTCAGACTTCTTGGTATCTTGTATTTGTAATAATGAAAAAGAAGGTGTAGGCAAAACTTCTTCAAGTTTTACTTGCGCAAGTTATTTAACATTTGACTTAAGAACTTGTAAAGACATGCCATCCCATCTTAAATTCCACTAACATTTAAACTAACAGTCATTGTGGGATTGAGTGCGCCCTCAGCCAGTTTGCCAATGACACCAAGCTGTGTGGCTCAGTTGATACGCTGGAGGGAAGGAATGCCATCCAGAGGGACCTTGACACGCTTGTGAGGTGGGCTGATGCCAACCTCACGAAGTTTAACCATGCCAAGTGCAAGGTCCTACACCTGGGTCGGAGCAATCCCAGGCACAGCTACAGGTTGGGCAGAGAAGAGATTCAGAGCAGCCCTGCAGAGAAGGACTTGGGGGTGCTGGTTGATGAGAAAATGAACATGAGCAGGCAGTGTGCGCCTGCAGCCCAGAAAGCCAACCATATCCTGGGCTGCACCAAAAGAAGCGTGACCAGCAGGTCAAAGGAGGTGATCTTGCCCCTCTACTCTGCTCTTGTGAGACCTCACCTGGAATATTGTGTGTAGTTCTGGTGTCCTCAACATAAAAAGGACATGGAACTGTTGGAGCAAGTCCAGAGGAGGGCCACGAGGATGATCAGGGGACTGGAGCACCTCCTGTATGAAGACAGGCTGAGAAAGGTGGGGCTGTTCAGCCTGGAGGAGAGAAGGCTGCGTGGAGACCTCATAGCAGCCTTCCAGTATCTGAATGGGGCCTATAAGGATGCTGGGGAGGGACTCTTCATTAGAGACTGTAGTGACAGGACAAGGGGTAATGGGTTAAAACTTAAACAGGGGAAGTTTAGATTGGATGTAAGGAGGAAATTCTTTCCTGTTAGGGTGGTGAGGCACTGGAATGGGTTGCCCAGGGAGGTTGTGAATGCTCCGTCCCTGGCGGTGTTCAAGGCCAGGTTGGACAAGGCCTTGGGTGACATGGTTTAGTGTGAGGTGTCCCTGCCCATGGCAGGGGGGTTGGAACTACATGATCTTAAGGTCCTTTTCAACCCTAACTATTCTATGAGTCTATGATTCTATATGGTTTATGTATAGATAAAGAAAGAGAATACATCAGAGCCTTACCAGTTTTTTTTTAATCTGGCACACAGAGTTAACAAGTCCATAACTACCTTAACACATTTCTTTGAATTCAGGAGCTTCAGCATGGATAGCCGCAAACATAACCAATACAAATAAAAAAAAAAAAAACAAAAAAAACAAAAACAACACTGAAACAAAAATATTATTGAAACAAACCCCATCATCATTAATAGCTCAGTTTCTATAGCAATCATCAGAGCCAGAAAAAAAAGGTCTACTTGGATTTTTGGTAGTCTAGATACAAAGGATTACAGAAGAAAGTACTTCGACTGAAAGATGTTTACAGAGAATTATTAATGTCCTTCAATAAGCCTGATCTTACCTAAGGGAACCTATGCTTTTCTTCGCTACAAAAATCCTTGTTATACTAGCACTGAATGTGTTAATGAATAAGCATTTCACTTTTATTAATGCATAAGCATTTCAAAACACATGTTCCCTCAGCTTCACACCTCAGATTGTATTCCTTCACTCCTACAGAGGATTGTACGGCTATTATCAGATACTTAAGCAACTTAGTAAATCAACTCTGCAGTAGGAACCAAGTCTGTACTGCAGAAAGCCACTAGCCATATGAAAACATTCCTCTCAGGTTAAATTGCCTTTTGCCTCCCAAATTTATGACTTTGAAGTGCTGAGAAGAGCCAAGCTGGTGGCCCTCATAAGAGGAGTTGCATGCAGAAGTACTGCAGCAGTTCCAGCTCTACGCACCAGCTCACCAACAAATCGATTAGATTTCGCTTTTAAAGCTCTCTGTTGCTCCCTCAGGGAACCAGCGCGAACAGCCAGCTCCCTCCCCTCAGGCCTACACACCTCCCGGCATGCACTGCTGCAGGACCGCCCCTGCCTAGGCTTATCATGGCCCCCCCCCCCCGGACTCTAAGGTCCTGGAGGGCAAGCCCTGCAGGCGGTCCCACCTGCTCACTTTTCTCACGATATCGAAGGCAGTTTAGCCTTTACCAAGGTTCGGTTTATGACCACAGGTCATAACCCACCTTCTCAACCATCTTCTGTAATGCCTTCACTAAAGCCCTCTAAGTCAGACACAAAATAAGGTGGTGAGCTTAAGTTTTAAGGCTAAAAAGCAAGATCCAGCTGGCTCAGTGCTCAAAATAGTTAATAGACAGGATTAAATGCTGCCTACTGCTGTCTGTTGTATCTTGCAACACCACTCAATTGTATTTCATTAAGCTCTCAACTTGCCAAGCTAAAATACAGACTCCTTCTGCACTAATGTGTACCTACATGTAAAAACATATTTATGGAGCATGCAACAGGCACACCTAAAGGAAAAAGCCATTTGAACACCATATAGAATGGATGAACCGATCAGCGTTCCTCCTAATAGAAGCAATTCTATGTTGTTTACATTCTACAAGTTTTCAATTACATGTTTAAACAAACTCATCTTTTTTTAAACTTCTGAATGAGGTAGTTTTGCTAATTTATGAGACTTGAAAACCTACCATGGCTCCAGCTACAAGCAAATGGTGTGCAACAGAGATGATGTTTCACACAGGGAGCACTGATGGGTTTGATATGGACACCTACTGGCATTCAGATGCCACCAGCCTTCTTGCCAAGCTGTAAATAATGGCACCAGCTCTGTCAGGAGCAGCAGCGGCAGCTGCATCCCCAGGGTGGGAGACACAAGGGCATCCCAGGAGGACAGCAGAGCAGGGCCTCACAGCCAGTGCCCACTGTCCCCAGCCAGAGTGTCAGCCACCTCTATGGAGACATGATAGGACATCAACCACAGGTCAGCATGTCCAGGCAGGGCTGTGGCAGACCCAGTGACCAACATCCCACAGCACCACTACAGCTAAGACTGATGACCTCAAGCTGAGCTGAAATGGAGTCTCGGACCCATGGGCAAGGACTTGGGTAGGGATAACAGGGGAGGCGGGTCAGGACAATTAAAGCTTATTAGTGTATTAAGGGCTCTGAGTGCTCATTTACTAGCCCAATCCTACTGTGAACTCAGAGTCTAATGCATACTTTTATGAGCACTTTATACAATCTGCAGATCAAAAGATGCAAATTCTGGCATTTATACAAGCTTAGCATTACACTGATGTCATGGTTTAAGCCCAGCTGGTAAGCACCACACAGCCATTCTCTCATTACCTGCTGCCTGATACCCAGCCTGGCCCAAGCAGCAATCTGGGCCTTCTGGGTAACTGTGGTATGGAATACCCCTTTGACAAGTTTGGGTCAGTGTTCTGTCTCTGCTTCAGCCTCACTTCTTGTGCCCCTCCTCACTGGCAGAGCATGAGAGACTGAAAAGTCCTTGATAGGGATAAGTGCTGCTTAGCAACAACTAAAATCATTGGTGTGTTATCAGTGTTGTTCTCAAACTAAAGCTAAAACATAGCAATGCACCAGCTACTAGGAGGAGAAAAATAACTGTTACAGGTGAACCCAGGACAACTAACAACAATGGCTGCAAGGTAAATGTTTGTGGTTTTATAACACTATAAATAATTGCCTGTTAGAAAGACAAAATCTTATTCCCAATACTAAAAGGATTACAACTTCAGAACTGTATGGAACTCAACTTTTTCTATCAAATACCATTTTAATTTGCAAAATACTGTGTACTACATACAGCAATATGCTTTAACTTGCCAAATATATTTCCAGCAGAGTAATTCCTCTTCCAGTTATCAGACAATATCTTCTCTAAATGTGCTGGTTGAGATTAAGGCATGTGCTTTTTACTGCGACTCCATCAAAATATGTGAGTTTCCACTCCTGAAAAACATAATTCCTGTATTTAAAAAGGAATAGTCTAAGAGAGTTTTGTATTGCTAATTAAGTTATCCTGCTGTTGAAAATCAGGCAGGTGGAAGAAAATGGCTGTGCAAAGTACACCTTACAATAGGAAGTAACTGAGATGCAACAGTAAATTCAAAAGAATTACTTGTCTAAGTACATTTACATTGGCACCAATGTAGCAAATACAATTTTTGAGATTTGGTTTAGGTTTCATTTTAAGAGTATTCTTGATCTAGTTAAATGTTCAATATTATCAAGTGTTCAGTCAAATATTTAGTATGTTAAAAGTATATCTGTACCCTTTCATTTATATGCTTTCATTCCCTTGTTAGGCAGAATGCTACAAATACTTTTGAAAATAACTCTTATTCATGTATAGATGTGTTCACATACTTCGGCTGTAAGGTAGAAAATATCTCCTAGTGAGGGAAACTATAAATGAAAGGAGAACTATTAGAATAAAAGTAGAAGTAAGTAGATATTTTCAAAACAAACCGAAAGTGAATATAGTGATATCACACACAGACAGATTATGAATATTTACTTAACACCAAAAGGCTCAGAGTGAGCTTTTGGCAGTATTGTATATAGACAAAATAGGCAAGCACTGAAGTCAGCCTTCTCTCTTCTGTGCCGTGTTAGGGTTTAAGTTTTCTCACTGCATGCCCAGAAAAATGTTGCAGAAGAGCAATATTAAAACCAGGGAAAATGGAGAGCCAGATTCATACCAGCTGCAAAAGAGAAGGCCATGTTTACCACTCCAGTCCCAAAGAATAATTAAAATCTTTGCCATCAAGGACTGTGCTTACATTTTCCATTGCACAATAAAGCTGATTTGCTTTGATCAGCTCTTACAGACTACATGCTGAAGATTTGTACCAAAAAACCAAAGGCAAAATCCTGTCCTTTCTGGAATGAATAGTTACATCACTACCTTTGAATACACCAAGATTTCATTATAGGTTTTTATGAGGCTGTGCTGTTAAGAGATCATTTTCATATACAACAATCAGGTTTTGTCACAGAACATAGGTCCACATTAAAAACATTTAAAACTGCAGCACTAACAGTTAATAAAGAAGAATCAATTTCTAAAGACTTACCATACCAAGCTGACTGTTCAGCCTAAATCCTGAATTGTCAAATCTGCTAGAACACATTTTGGAGTCAAAAGGTAAAGTACAGTTTTGTACTTTATCCTTCTTCAATTACAATCATCAAAAGTTTTGTAATGCTTTGACTTTTTTAAGTTTTTCAGTTCGATTACTTTGAACTTCTGAACTGTTTTTTTCTAAAATTCATATGTGTGATATAACTTACAGGACTGTGAACCCCATTCTTTATAACACTGCTCTTTAATATTAGGATTCAAAAATACTGTAAATAGTGTGCTTTCATTATTTTACAAGTTCAAGTCAGGTATGTTTTTGTTTCTTCTGGGCACTTTGGTCATGTACTGACGTGTGTAGTATAATGAAATAAACAGTCTTGAAATACCATTACAAAATGATGCAGTCAGGTTAAATGGTCAAGACTATCTTGAGGCCATGAAACACTAGAAGAAGATTGTGTGAAATGTGTGTTATTTTTAACAGTTCACAGCAGACAAGATATGTGCATTATTCACATTGAGGTGGCAAAAAACTGGAAACACATTTCAGAAGCATCATGTCAAGCTCTTTGTGACAAAAAAAATTACCATCAGAGCAAAGGAAAATCAGAAGCATATTCTGTCTGCTTCATCCTACTCCAAAAAACAGACTCCCTGGTTGTTGAGTATTCTTTTAGCATATAGAAATATTCAGTGATATTTTGCCAGCTATGCTGGTTCATGATTACTCCATCTCCAGTCCTTTCACAGGCTTGTTGGACAGCTGAAGAAGGACTAGTCAGGGCTCCGTCACATTCTAGTGACATGGTATCATGCTAGAAGACATTGTTAATCCATTTTATCAGAAATTACTCAAAGCTTCTCAGTAATGTACTGAATTTTGCTAAAACAATTAGCAGTTGAGCCAGACCAGGCTGTAAGAGGCACCCAGAGAGGGGCTGTACAGTTGAAGAAGAGAGTACCAGGAAAGATGTTTGGAACTGTCCAGAAGTGACAGTGAGGGCTGTTGCTAACAAGAGAGGTCATGCTACACTGTGGCAGCTGGCATATGTAAACCCTAAATCTTCCTTCATTGTCCCTTCAAAGTGGCCTTGCAACCTCCTACAGCTCTGAAGCTGTCACTACATAAGCAATGATAACAGCAGTGACAAAAGGGTGTAATATCATAGAATCATAGAATCACAGAATAGTTAGGGTTGGAAAGGACCTTAAGATCATCTAGTTCCAACTCCCCTGCCACAGGCAGGGACACCTCACATTAAACCATGCCACCCAAGGCTCTGTTCAACCTGGCCTTGAACACCGCCAGGGATGGAGCATTCACAGCTTCCTTGGGCAACCCATTCCAGTGCCTCACCACCCTCACAGTAAAGAACTTCCTCCTCATATCCAATCTAAACTTCCCCTGTTTAAGTTTGAACCCATTACCCCTTGGTCCTATCACTGCAGTCCCTAATGAAGAGTCCCTCCCCAGCATCCTTATAGGCCCCCTTTCAGATACTGGAAGGCTGCTATGAAATCTCTATGCAGCCTTCTCCAGGCTGAACAGCCCCAACTTTCTCAGCCTGTCTTCATACAGGAGGTGCTCCAGTCCCCTGATCATCCTCGTGGCCCTCCTCTGGACTTGCTCCAACAGTTCCATGTCCTTTTTATGTTGAGGGCACCAGAACTGCACACAATACTCCAGGTGAGGTCTCACAAGAGCAGAGTAGAGGGGCAGGATCACCTCCTTCGACCTGCTGGTCACGCTTCTTGTGGTGCAGCCCAGGATACGGTTGACTTTCTGGACTGTGACTGCACACTGTCGCCTCATATTGCTTTGGTTTCCCTTCTTAACAGCGCTTAAACACACTCAGTCACAGAAAGAGTGTATCTTTCTATATGATATCTCTACTCATGGTTCTAAAATGATATGAAATTCCCTTTGGCTGAGTATAGCCTATTTAGCCATTGTTTTAAATAGCTGTCACATGCCCCTTCGTTCTTTGAAAAAAATGTTAGGCCTCATTTTTCAGATTGAAATGCTGAGATCAGATAGCTGAGAACTCTTGGATTTCAGTGATGCAAAAAATCTTAAGATCTGGATATGCAGTAATATTTGTGACCTCAGTTTCTGTTGATGCAATTATAACATAGCTTTTATATTCATTTCAGTATTTGACTCCTGCAAAGATTACCAACTGGTGTCATGTTGGAAGCATATGTGACCTTGGGTACCTGGGCTCAACTTGGTCAACTAAATACACAAGTCTGTAGAGTCATCTCCCAGAGACATCTGAGATACTTAAATATGTTTAAATATCAGGTGAATAGAAATGGATTTCTGTGCTGAAGCATCTGATGTCTAGGTTCCTTAAGACAAAATATGGAACTTTTTTTCCTTAAAAAAAAAAAAAAAAAAAGAATTCTAGCAATAACTTTATAACATTTAAATGACAGGGTGAATGTTCCTAATCATAGTTTTCAAGACACTTACTCTATTTTAAAAATGCATACAGTGTAATGCCATTAGAACGTTAAATAAGCAGTTGCTAAAGTTTGTAGTAAATGAGGCAGGAAAGCTTGCTGTTAATTTTTACCTTTAGGAGTTATATTAGATGCACCAATGCATTTATATTTTACATTGGTATCATGTATGTTTTGATAAACTGTCACCATGAGAACAGTGCAGGTATTGAGAACATCACAACTTCAGAAGATTGCAAGTCTAGAAGTGTACTGTATGGTATGTCACATACCTGGAATTCTGGACAGAATAATACCATGCATCCCACAAAACAGGTATAAAAATGTGGAGGCCCCACTAAGCTTTTAAAATTGCACCTGGAAAAAAAAAACCTAAAAATTATCCTAAGGGTAAACACCATTCATCAATAAAAGAAAATACCCTGAAGCCAAGAACTTGCTGCTAAACACACAAGCAGAATAGTTTTTAATTAGGGAATTACTGCCAGCTATGTTTTAAGGTAGGAATTAGCAGTAAAAATGAAAGAATGGCAATGTTTTGCTTATGGAGGGCACATAATCCCAACCATAGTCAACATGCTTTTTCTTGCTAGAATTAGATTTTTTATCAGTATGATTTAGGGGCTATGTGAGTTTTATTATATCTATTTCAGTTAAACATTGACTTGTTCATATTCCCTAAAGGGCAAAAAAATGCCTTTTCATTCCTTGCCATAATAAAAATCTAAATATGTCAGTGTAAGCATAGAAAAATAAAAGTGGCTGAAGAGAAATAAGCATCAGTTCTTCCCACCCTTGAAAAAGATTCTTTCCTAGCTGTAACTGTGGCATAACTAGCTGTATCTGAGCTAGTTTCACCTTAGGTAGGGATGAGCAGCCATACAATATGCAGATCTGTGCTTCAGCCGTCCCAGTTCACCAATTTAGCACTAATTATATCTAGCAAAGATGGAAAATAGAAAACAGGGTTAGAATCATAGCAGATGGCTTCAGCATCCAGCTGCATTGTCCTACTAGTCCCTCCCACCTATTTAATTTGAAGCCAAAGCTATATCCTTTCCTCACAGTCACTTCTGCCTCCTTGGCTGTGACTGTCCTAAGTCGGCTGAGCAGGTGGACACTTAAGATGGAAAGGCAGACAGCAGTAAACACTGGGGCTTCTTAGTGTGCATGTGGAAAATGATGGGTCCACAGTAAACAAAACAAACAAACAAAAATATGTAGGTATTTTTGTGAAGAAGAGCAACTTGTTTAGTGTGTTCATTTGTAATGCAAAACCTTTCCAAGGATATTTGAAGAATTAGGTGACAAGCAGCAAATGCTGGTAAAAGACACAGCCTTCTGGATCCATAGCCATCTAGCTTAGATTTTGAAGGCAGCATACTATGTGCCAGTCCTTGTTCTCTAGCTTTTTCAGGCTTTGAAAGAATTGGTGTGACACAAAAGCTTGGAGAAACTGTACAGCTTTCAGACTGCTCAGTTGTTTTTTGATGTCCTCACAGTGGGCAATCTCACCAGCAACTGACATTTTAGTTGGCCCAGTCCATGGGACAGTAAATATCTTTCTACTCCAGCAATAGCGGGAATCTGTCTTTAGGTCTGACAGAGATCCTGCAGACATGGGCTGCTACAATGATATTGAAAGCATGATACCTAGTACCAAAAGCTGCCATGCTAAAGCATGACAGTTGCACACAGGTATAGGGGTGAAAGGTGTGTGGTAGTGATTAAAGAGTGACCACAACTGGGCTGGTGTGTAGGGAAGTCTGCTGGGGTGAGAACAGTCCTCTTGCATACATGTGCAAGTACGGATGAGGATTTCTGTGTTGAAATGGCTGTGGGGTACAAAACCTAGGATGCATGTGCATAGCCTGGGGAAGGAGAGAGGAGTGGGTGGGAGTTGAGAAGGGGGAGCCAGGACTGCTGTTCTTCCCCTTTGTCTGTGCCTCTGTCTGCTGGCTCCTCCTGACACATGATACCGATTCTCACAGGAGCTTGGAGCCCAACTTCTCCCTCCTTTCTTCACAGAACATCTGGCACAGGGACGGCGCAGCTGCCAGCAAGCCCAGGGCAGCATCCTGCATATCCGCAGAGCCTTCTGCTTATGAACATCAAGGTAAGAACCCCCTGTCCTCTCAGTGTCTGTGGGCACTAGAATTCCTGCCCTAAACCAGTAGAAGCTGAGAAACCTTGCAGATACGGCTGTGTTAGGGACTTCTATGAGATATACTCACTTCTGGCAGGGTCATTCTTGCCACTGAGTTGCCTTTTTGCTGTGTGTTGTGCTTTTCTAGGGAGACCTTGCAGTGAACTGCATGAAACCTTAGTGGGGCTGGACTGACTTGTCAATCCCTGAGCAGCCTGTGGGCTGCTTCGGGTGTGTCTGTGAGGCCAGGACAAACATCTCCTGTCCCTGCAGAAGGGACCCTGCCTTGCAGGTAGCTGTGGAGCCTACATGTCTCCAGGGCTGTGCCGCAGGTACTGCCTGGGCAGCAATCTCTGACCGTTCCTCTGTAGGACTGCTGAGGACAGGGGGACTGTGATAGCAAGATGTATGCATGACACTCAGTTCTTAAGTAAAGAGAACAGGGGAAAACTTGTGTCTGCTTCTGTACCTCCTTCTCGCCATGCCAGCTCTGGAAAAAGCAGATGTAAAATAGAACCACCCCTATGAATGACACTTGGGATTCACACTGCATCCACATGGGCACAGTCAAGGTTAAGGATTCCGAGAAGGGCTGGTTGTCCAACCAACCAGCTACCAGGCAGTGAGAGAGAACTGAAGTGTGTTTGCAAAATATCTGTCAGCATTTTGTCATGTGCTAGAACGATATGCAGAGTGCTTGAAAATCACCACAGTATGTCTTTGCTTATTATTTATTACATATTTTGGAAAAGATCTTACCAAAGGAAAATCAGCTGGGTTTTAAGGACTATATTTTAAAATACAGCCTGCTAAGCAACCTGTTGAAGAAAGGTTGCTTAGCTGCAAAATGAAAGCAAAATGAAATGTTTTTTTCCCTTGTACTGCTGTACTTCTGTATTATTATTTGTGTCATTTAGGAAACAAACCAAACAAATGATGTTCTTCAGATTCTGGTGGCTTTTGTGGATACTTGAACACCATGAGTTTTTAGCAGAAAATCTCAGGGAAGAAAAAAGATATGGATTGAGAAGAACAAAACCTAAACACTTTCTGTCAAATACTGTAGAAAAATATCCCAGCCCAAGTGATCAAGGTGAATATTGTCATTTTAAAACAGTGTGGGTTGGTTCCCTCCTCTCCCACCCCTTCCCCTTCTCTCTCCCCTCCTCCCTCCCTCCCCCCGATTCATTTATTTGGATTCTGGACTATGTGGCCCTTTAAGATGTTGCTTATAATCAGCCAGACTCACCTCATCCTACATTTTCACATGCCTTATTTTTGCACTTTTGTCTTTCTACTCCCATCTTTCTCATCCCCTTTTATGTATCCCAGAAAAAGAGATTGCTTTGGGGCTTTACTGTGGTATGGCTGATAGCCTCTTATTGTCAATAGCCCATATAACTGTATGCCTATAGAAGTAATGTCAGTAGTTCAGAAAATTAATGCTCTGCAGATCCTACTTTAGAAAACTTCTATGTCACTGTGTCAGTATCAGGGACAAAATCTAGCTCCAACAAATTACATTCCAGTGTCTTATTCAGTAAGATTCATTTTCCTGTAGATGACTTCCACCTTCCCAGTCCTCATCCTGGTAGGATATTCAGTGAAATATCAGGCAAGAGGACATAATGAATATATAAAACCACTACAACACTCCTCATTTTATTCTACATGACATAACCTCACCTTCAGTTTCTTATTCCCTGGGGCATCTGTTCTGAAGCAAATTCCTCAGCCTCGATATGCTCTATCTCCATGAGGGTCTCACATTTGTGGTGACAGATGTTTAAAATAATTTCACTCACAATTTTGAAGCCTGAAATACATGTAAGGGTAGGGGTAGAATGTGGTTTAGTATGAAATCACTCCACTCACCTACCTCCCCTATTTATTCTAGATGAAGACTGCATTCTGGAAATCTCTTTTTTACTGGACAGCTCCGAAAGTGCTAAGGATTATAATCACGAACAGCAGAAAAAATTTGTACTGGAAACTGTAGACAGAATGAAAAGTCTGCAGCTTAGTTCTGGACGTACCCTTAGCTGGAGGATGGCCTTACTACAGTACAGCAGCACTGTTTTCATAGAGCAAACTTTCCATGACTGGAAAGGTCCTGAAGCATTCAAATCCCACCTTGCTCCCATCACCTACATAGGTCATGGCACCTACACAACTTATGCTATAACTAACCTCACACAACTCTACATGACTGAAGGGACTCCGGGTAGTGTTAAAGTAGCTGTGCTGTTCACTGATGGAGTGGACCATCCGAGAAACCCAGATATTTTTGCAGCTATAGCTGATGCTAAACACCAAGGAATTGTATTTTTCACAATGGGAATGACCAGAGTGGCTGAGGAGGTCAGCAATGCTGCCAAGCTCCGGCTCCTGGCCAGTGTCCCAGCATCCAGGTTTGTTTTCAACCTTCAGGAGAAAGAAACTGTGGAAAAGATTGTCAAAGAAATGGTATGTATGAGAAAGAATTTTAAAGAGTTACAGGATCATATGTGTATGCTTTTACTTCCAATATTTTGGAATGCTTATGCTATTGAAGAAACCTGTACCTTTTACATGTTAAAGTAGCCCACCTGTTAACAAGACCACTGTGCCAAAGTACAGGTTTCATTTCTGTCCCCAGCATTCAGATTTTGCCAGCCAAAATATTTGAAGTTGGAAACGAAATTAGGTTTCAGAAGACTTGCTGTGAAGTTATTTATATTTCTGTTTTTCCTCCCAGTAAAGGTATTTTAAATCCTCTTTCTTAAAAAATATAAACAAAAACCAACAACAATTTTTGGCATCCCGGTGCTTTCTTCTGTAGGAAGTAGAAATGTGATATTGCCTTTTGTACCAAAAATTACAGCTCTTGCATAAGTGAAAATAAATTCATAGCCCTTAATAGAGATATGTCAATTTAGATAAAATCTGAACTTGGTGATGGCCGTCTTTAAATTTTCATGGAAAGCCTACCACATAATAAGGAGGAAATGTTTAAATTGAGCTTGAAGTTTTGCTTGGGTGCCTCTTTTCTGCATATGAACTTAATTTATAAAAAATATTCCCTGGCAAGTATAGAGAATACAGTCATCTTCTAGCTTGTAGATCTGGTGACACAAGCTGCAGATGAAGTCCTAATCTGAGCATGCACAGAAATATAAAATACCAGGAGACTCCTTTATCTGGAGACTTCTGCAGTGAAACTGACACATAAGTATCATACAGGCTTATACAGATCTTGAGCATGTACACAAGCTGGTCTTCCTGTTTGCCCTGCACTGCAGCAGTCTGCCACTCTGCAGACTGTTGCATTGGTTTTCCTGCATATCACCCTTCCCTTCTTCTCTAGTATTACCATTGCTTTCTGTATGACAGCAACCACCTCGCAAGTGTCTAGACACCCTTTATTTTACCTGTTCGAAACAGGCCATTACAAGTTCTTGCTTTTGAGAATATGGGTGCTGTCTGATTTAAATAATGGCTTTGGCATAATATATGTGTATACATGTGACTTCTAGAGATTTGCATTGTGTTGCTGCTCATCAACATGTTTATGTCCTCTCAAGAGACTACATCAGTTGTATGAAGTGGGGGGAATGCATTCCCTGTGGGTGTTTCAGCTGTAGAGATCTAAAAACTAACAGCTAATTCAATGATAACTTTATACAATCACTGTTAAAGCCAAAGCTTTTCTAAGGTTCTCATTTTGTGTGTTTGCCTGATAGTATGCTTAGAAGAGCTTCTGATTTTTGCAAGTGTAGATAGAGTGTGTATCATTTACTTCTACTAGAGAGCTGCTGCTATTCAGGACTTTGGAAACAATGTAGTTTCTGGGTTCCCATGTACCTGCCACAGGTACTATGTTGGCTTAGGTCTGTTCACCATTGTAGTTTTAGCAAATGACAATGGCTGGACAAGGGGAGTCAGTGATTTGTGCAGTCAACAATCTATAATAGGAATTTAATGCTTTTAATTAATTTCTAGGATGGAGAGATTGCTAGAATGTTTCTCAGAAATCGAAACTTAATTAATGTTAGATAATATGTTGTTTACTTTAATTAACTAGTTGCTGAAGCAATTTATTTTACAATCTTTTAGTGTCCTTTCTGTAGAGCTGGATTATGACTTTAAGTTTCTAATGTTGCTTTGAATATCTGTCTTTACAGAAAGATCTCTCTGAGGAAGAGGTAAGTTGTTTTGTTTGGTTTTTTTCCTGTACAGATCTGCTGCTTAATACAGACATTTACAATTATACGGAAACATAATTCAGGAAAACTGATAGTTCAGGAAGTTGGTGAAATATTGAGTCTAATGAGATTGCCTTCAAGTAAAACATGCTTTTGCATTTACAGGACAGAGCTTTGATTTCCTTCCCTAATGTCATTTACTTTCCCTCCTAATTTTCAAAGTTGAAAAAGAACAACACCTGTAGTGAGCATTCAGGTTAGCAATAATTTGCTGATATGTCTTGGCACATCATCCAACAGACTCAGTGGATAAGAAAACATGACACAGAGCTGAATGTGGTGCAGGTCTGGCCCATAATGCTCTTCCTAATAGTTTTAAAATAGGAAGAAAAATCGAAAAATCTCAACCATTGCACTTTTCCAGTTTGTCCACACTGTGTCACCCTGCCTGCAGCCACTGATAGGTCTAGCTGCCATTAAAGATTGTGTTAACTTTAAAGTTAACTTTCCTTTTAAAGATGTTAGTCCTACTTCAGGTACAGTTATCTCAGACAAAGACTGTTCTGATGAGCAGCTCAAAGAATCTGGTAAATATTCTGAGTGTTTGCAAAACTTAAAGCATTTCATTTTTTATTCATTTCCACTGGCATGTTGATTTTTGTCAGAACAAATGCTGAAGTAACAAGACATTCAGTGCTGTCATTGCAAAACAAATTGTTACTAATTGTGATATTCAAGTAAGAATGATATTTAAGCCCTTCAAGACATCTAGTGGAAGTTTAATAAATAATAAAACCAAAACTAGAAACAACATTGCTTATTCCTCCTCCAAAAATTACCCCAGCATCTGTAATAATTCTGTATTCTGTAATGGTTTTAAAGTTTCAAAAAGATCCTACATACCATAATGATGTCTGAGACACATGACAGAAGAGATGGCAGAAGAAAAAGAACAATTATAAACTGTTACAATGAATTAATTGCATTAACTAGATAAAACTATACAGCCCTAACATGTTTTGTTTATAGATCAAGCTAGAGCTAAACTGTGATCTATCCTACATATAGTGAAGTGGAACAAGGATGTAAGATGTTCTCTTACCCCATTGTCTTGGCTATCTCTACAGTGACTAGTAGTCAAACCAAATCTATAGCCATAGACACAGCACACCAATAAATTAACCTTGTGAAAAATTTGGAGGTAAAGCCATTACCAACATGACTGAAATTTCAAGACTAGGAATGATACGGATTTTTGGATGGAGTGTAGGAGACCACGTTCCTCATGAGTGGTAAACTGACAGTTGAAAGATTTCTGTAAAATATGTAAATATAACCATGTCATTACATATAGTAACTTAAAAGCAATGGTCATGTGTTTTCTATCCTTTCTATTAAAATGTGCTGATTTGGACTATTTTCATTCAAAGTGTCCCCAGGCTGCCACATGTAACTGTGAGAAGGGGGAAAGAGGCCTTCCTGGTCCTGCTGTAAGTAGCTGTCATTTCTCAAATAACTGATAAACATTGTAAATCAAAATTTATTTAATTATTGGATTCTTTTTTTAGGAAATTATTTGAACCCAAATCCTGAGACATCAAAAGTTGAATGTTCAATGCTAGTTACATTGCATAGAAGTGCTACACCAATAGGAAATCCACAGAGACACCTGAGAATGTCATCAGATGCTCCTGAAAACAGCAGTGTGATATGCTGAGCTGAGCCTCTCCTTTTAGCCACAGCAGTTCAAAAGGCAGGAAGGAGCAACTTTCCTGTATGGAACAGTAATTCACCTGTTATTCACAATGAGACAACCAGACCAGGTGGATCTAACTAGGCCCAAATCAAACATTAATATCTGAGAAGCTCTCGAAAAGCTCTCTTACAAGAGTGAGAGCAAGAGGCTAAAGCAAATAACCTAAATATAAAAAAAAAAAAGTGTATATATTGTAAAACAAAATTAGTTGGCTAACGTATCAGAATTTTGTTACTTTTATTTCATTGTTTTCAGGGTAAAAAGGGTCGCACTGGTGATGATGGAGCTCCAGGCCTGAAAGGAACAAAGGTAATGTGATTTTTCAGGTTTAGGAGAAAGAGTTGGTACTTCATTAATATGAAAAGACCATCCTAATAGTGCCCATGTACTTTCCGCCTGTGAGTGTTTTGAACGTCACCTACACCCTTTTGCTATAGTAAAGACTAAGATTCTTTACAAATTAAAAGCTTACATATAATGTGTAAAATCATCAAACGGTAAAAAGAGGGAGCTGGTATGCTGCCTGTACTGCAATGAGATATCTACTCAGTTAATCAGGGCAATACAATCTTATACTGATTTCACTGATCTTGATGTTGGATTATTCATAGGGGGAGCCAGGTCTCAATGGAATTCCAGGACGAGATGGAATAGAGGTAAAAGAAGATTTTTTACCTTCTTCTCCCATGAGCAGTTAGTGTTCCTTCAAGGCAAAACACCTTTTTTAAAAAAGATTAGAATTCATTATGGTTTACCAGCTAATGATTCATTAACACTAGACAGGAAAACATTATCATTGCTTGAAAAGAAATAATAAAAAGAAAATGCTCTCTAATAATGAATAGTCACTCCTAAAAAGTGTGAAAAACTGTGATATAATAATCTAAGAACATTAATAATAATCTAAGAACATTACAGAAATGGACACTGCCTGCATCTTTTTGGGTCAGTTTAAATTTTTCATTTGGCAAATAAAGAATCCAGTGTGTCACGGCAATGAAAAAAATTGAGCAAAATACATTTAAGGAAGTAACTGTAGGACCAGCCACTTAGTGCTTAACTCTGAATTCATTCACACATGAATCACCCTGTTTTTTATTTTCTTATCTATTCACTACATCCTTTTTAATTTTTCTTGCTTTCTTATGTGAGCATGTTCCTCACTAAGAAGGAAATATGAACTCTAGTTGATCTGTTTTTACATGATCAAAACCCCTGACTAAGATTGTTCACACACAAAACACATCTATCATGACCAGTAGCTGCAGTATTTAGAGTCATATTACTATGTTTATCAGAGATCATCTTCAGTACGTTAAATGCTTCTAGACAGTAGAATGTTAGTAGTGCAAATATTACATGCTTACATTTGGGTTATATATCCTCACAACCTGCTTTGCTTTTTTTTTATTTTCCCAGGGGAAATCTGGATATAAAGGAGAGAAGGTACTACTCTTAGTCAGAACTTCTGCTTACACACAGATATTTGATGTTATTACTATTTATTATGTATAGTGCTGTATTTGTTATAAATACCAGTAACGAACAATAACATCATCTTACCAGCTATTGCACAAACTCTAATTAAAGATGTGTTCCTTCCAAAATGAACTTACTGCACAAATGCTATAATATGTTCTGAACAGAAGATCATTTAGGTGTCCAACTAAAGCACCCAAAGAATAAGGATGATATGCTCAATATACCTCATAAATATTCCTGTTCCTTTCCAGGGTGAAAGAGGTGAATGTGGAATCCCAGGGATAAAAGGAGACAGAGTAAGTAGCCAAAAGGTTATTATGCCTTCAGGAAACACAGTTAAAACACAGAAAAACGAGTTTCCTCAGTAACAACCATGGTGATAGATTTAAGACAGATATTAATTCCAAGGCTGAGGGAAATTAACATCTGACAGTTTAAGAAAAATAAAGTAAGCAAGGATACCATTTTCAGTAACTTTCTCAACTCCTTCTATATTTTCATGTGATTCCTCTTAGGGCCCAAACCTAAGCCAGTGTATAACAGTGCTAAAACTCTGCTTGACTTTAACAGAGGCAGAAGACTTCAAGCAGTAAGCAAAGGAAATGAGAGGTGAAAGTGAAATCAAGGTTTCTAACACCAGTCTTCAAGATTTGGTGTGTAATTGCTGTGAATATTTTAAATGAGACAAATAAGTTTAATCCTGTATTACTGGTCCTTGATAATTAACTGTTTATTCTTACTCTGCATTCTGATTACCACATTCAATTTTAAAACTATTTATTCAACACTTGCTGGTTGCTGACCTTCTCTTGATTTTACTTTTTACTTTAATGTAAAGATATCTAAGTAAGATACTTTAGTAAAAAGTTCTCTAAAAGTGGTTTTGACCAAATCAAAATGTACATAAAGGTATCCCTTTTTCCACTTGCCTTTCAGGGTCCGGAAGGTCCAGTAGGCCCCAGAGGAGCAAGAGGGCTACAGGTAAAAAAAGAAAGGAAACTATAAATCAAACAATACCTGGTTCCCTGGGATTCAAAGGTATGAAATAGTACCATACCACAACCATCATAGAATCTTTGAGTCACTGAATTAAGGCATCCAAAATCAATCTTCTTAAACAGCAAAATTAAGAAGAATTTGGAGGATCAGTCTAGACCAATAAATCATCCTTATAATTCATTCAGTCTCAAACACCACAGCAAATGCAGTTCCATAAAAACCAAAATTGCTCGTTTCCCATTTAGTGTCTTAACTCTTTCTTTATCTCACAGAAGTATATGGGAACACTAGTATTTTTTCATCCCAGTACTCTTGGACTGAAGGCCCAAGCATTGGGATGTTTCAGTAAATCTTGACTATAGATTACCTTCAATTGCATTCAAATGAAGAGAGAGAAAATTTCTCTCCCCCAGTTACCAGACCCAGCTCCAAGTTAGCTGAGTAACTTAGTCTATATGTGCATCAGAATGGAAAGCTTCAGTTTTGAAATATTTGTAACTCATATTTTCATGCAGACTACAGCAAATTAGAAATTGTTTTTCAAGCTGCCATGTTCTAAAAGCTTGAAAAAATCTCATTAAATCCCTTTTGTTTTAATAGGGTCCACAAGGACAATCTGGAGACCAAGGGCCTGAAGGTCTGCAAGGATCGAAGGCAAGAACTGCATTATTTCTCCTTTCTTAATGTTAAAAGGTATTAATAGTATTAGTATAGCCTCACAACAATAATGCTTTTATCCTTGTACCCCATACCCTTCTTGTAGGGAATGCAGTTTAATGTGACATTGCTAGCAAATCATAAGAAAACCTTTCTTAGAACCTTGTAGAATACAAAGAGTATATGTATACCTTGAAAGTCAGGATACACAAAAAATGAACTTACAACATGAGTTAAACTGATTTCCATAGACATGGAAATGTTAAACATAAATGTTATAAGCAGAACTGTTTATTTTTTCATTCTCTGAAAAGGGTGAAAGAGGTCCCCCTGGGCCACCTGGCTTGCCTGGAGAGACTGGAATAGGACTGCCAGGCCCAAAGGTACAAGCATCTCTCACCTTCTATATTACATGTATTGTAAGGTAAGAATGAAAACCAAGACAGCTGAGAGACTATACTTGCTGGTGATGAGAAAATTTGAGCCTCCAAATGCTGGTTTTGTGGTACTGGGAAGGTATTTTGTATGTTGATCAAAACTTCTTGGGGGGAGTAGGGTGGAAAGTACATTTTAAGTATGTACTTCAAAGGACTTTTTACAGTAGTTCATATGCTTGGCATAACTAAGCCAAGCAGTGTATGCCTGAGTAAAATGCATGCACAGTCTGAAACAAAAATTATCCTGTGAAAAATAGGCTTGTTGGTTTGGATGACTGGCATAAGGAGAAAAGCACTATGATAAAAATACTAACTCCTTGGAAATGGACAGTAAGTGATACATGACATACTAGGAATATGATGGGAATAATTAGCCATTTAGATCCAACATTGTCTTCTCTCAATGCAGAATTGAGGCTGTATCCTAATGCTGTAAAACTGCACCAGTTCAGTGTCTGTTGGGCCTTGTATGCTTTATGGCTGTGAGGACACTCAGATTTTCTCTGCCATTCCTGTATTCTCCTACATCAATTATTTCAAGCACAGAATGCCTGATGAGTTGTTATATGCTATGCACATAAAAATACCTAAATCAGTCATTTTCAAAACACATCTTTGTTGGAAGGGTGACACCGGTTTGACAGGAAGACCAGGCCCTGTTGGCCCACCCGGAGCTGGTGAGCCAGGACTTATGGTATGTCTATTTTTCATTTGGTGTGAGGGAAGCACGACAGAAAGGAAAAATTCTTAGTGCTTCTCTGTTAAAAAGGATATATGTGTGTTAAATAATACCATCTCTTCTTTCTTCCACTAGTTCTCACTCCCATACGTTCTACATTGTCTGACTTTCATTTCCCTCAATAAACTGGGAACGTTTCCAGTTCCTTAACTTTTCTAATTATCTTAATCTCTGAAACAGCTAAGAAAAATACCACCTTATGCAAAACCATGTACATATTTAAACAAATCTGTTCACAATAGATTCAAATCTGCATGTGGTAACTTCAAAGTTGACTGCTTTTCAGTATCATTAGAACATTCACATCAGCATGGTTTTGAGGGAGAGACTCCATTTCAACCACTGTAACATTAGAAACAGTCAAACCTAAACGTCCTTCTTGAAGATATTCAGATTGCATAGGTGGTCAAAGGTAACAATTTGACCAGTATTGCCTTTACAGAAATAACAGTGAGAGAAATTAAAATATATATATAAATATATATACTTTCAGACTCTATAGTAGTTTTGGCCCTGAAGTCTCTTCCTTCTTTTCCTTCCCTTCCTCTTCCTGGTGGCTGTAAGCTAAACCTCTTTGAGGTAATTCAGAAAACAATTACACCAATTTTAAGGTTGCTTTTTTTCCAAAGTGTCAGACAGCATCTTTTTCTGAGCTGTTTACAATTCAGCTGACTCAAACTCATTTTTGGTTGAAAGACCTCTAGTGCAACCACAAGGGGGAAATTTTGTGCAGTTTTTTCATAAGGCAAGGAAAGGTAATAATGATTTCAAAAGAGGTGCTCCCAGGAAAAAGAGAAAGACAGTTTGGAAACTGAACTCATGCCTGATTGAAAATACACCTCTGGAGAGGACAGAGTTCTCATTGAAGAGCCCACAGAACAGAGAATTACTAATAAGGCCAGTGGTGACAATCAAACCAGGCATAATTCTGAAGCTCTCTGCTAAAGACACAGAAGCATATTTATGCAGAGCCAAATCTACTGGCATTCTGTGGTGTGTGTGTGTAATCTCAAGGAATAAACCAGAGGGAAAAATAAAGATGCGGGAACACACTGTGGAGCAGGCTCAATATGCACAGGTTTTGGACTTCCATTTAGTGAAAAGTTTTAGTTGCCTTATTTTCTCCTTGTGCTCCTATGAGGTCTGCTTTCAAAGAGAGAAAGTCATGTTACTATTCCCTTCACCAGTTATAGTCAGATTTCTCTACAGCTACCTCTTCTTCAGTACTGCTGTCTATGGTCTTTAATCTGGTTCTCCCTGTCTCTTATGGTTGTACTGGTAGTGTTAATAACAATTGGTAACAATTTGTGAACCGAACTAAAGTTTAGGGAGTGAAGATTTAGAAAGTATATGCAATAGGAACTTCAGCTACGTAACCTGTGATTCATAAGTAACTAGAAAAGTAAAACTGTCTGCCTTGTTATTGCTGCAGGCCAGAATACTCATCATTTATTCGCTGTGAATATCGTATTACTGTATTATTTTTAACAAGTTATAACTACACTAACATTTAAATATGTACTTGAAACTGACAATGACATAGAACTTGCTGCTTTTGATTTGAGTGATTAGTACATATTCTAAGCCATTTTAAACATACATTAACAGGGGCCTCAAGGACCACAAGGTGTTCAAGGTGAAAGAGGTTCACCAGGAGAAGGGCTTCCAGGAGCAAAGGTACAGCAGTTGAAGAGTTTTAAGACCAGAGCAGCACTATTAAATGAGTACATGCCAAAACAAGTCCATAGAAAACACAGGAATCTGAGAAAGTAGCTTCTAACTTAATATTAAAATTTGGCATCAATTAACTCAATATATTTTCATAGAATTCAGTTGGTCCAAACGTGACTTCTAGACACAGCTAGCAATTGGTGCCTGTAAAGATGATATTTAATTCACCTGATGCTTGATTTGTGGGATCTAAGCCTGAAAAGAATTCCAGCTATAATTTTAAAACAGCCTCCAGCATCTGACTTCAAATAAAATATTGTACAAATGATTACTAGATGAAAAATTTAGGGGTTTATTGGTGCTCTTTTCTAAATCCTTAGAGATCTTTGCTGTCACTGAAAACAGGCTTCTAAGCTTCTGAAATACCTCAGCCACGGATTTATGCATTTTGGCAGAAGTCTAAATTCAGTTTGTGGGAAAAGAAAGCTGCTGTTAACTAATTTTCAGATCCAGGGAAAGTAGTGACAGTAGTAGTTGCACCTGCATGGATGGACACAGTGCTAATCCCTTTTGCTGACTGCTGAAAACCAAAACCAACTCCCAGGCTAAATTGTCACTTTGACCTTTGGTTACAGTAACAAAGTGACACAGCTTGTGTATGAGCTATGTATGCACCGAGGCAACTTTTGTCAGGAAAACAATAAAAAATTGTTTTACAGATGCAGGCCCCAGATGTCCCTTTACTAAAAATCTTCGTGGTTTTGCTTAGCACAATACTGTGGTCAGCTAGCAACACAGAATCTTCAAACATCCAGTATGCATTTTATGATTATATGACTTGTCTAACTTCATTGTTGATGGTTTGTATTTGCTTAGCTGATCTCATGCATGAAAACAAACAAAAAATGATTTGAAGAAAAAGTATTTAGGGATCATTCCATTGCCACTGAAATACCAATTTGTGTGGGAAGAAACACTACTGCTAATAAGCAGTAACACAATGCACAGTGGGAACAAGTACAGAAGACTGCATAATCTAGCCACAAGTATTGAGCAACTGAGATAGATAGGCAGAATAAAATAATCAAATTGGAAGTCTGCCAGCATTATTGGAACTCTTGATTCCATTAAGATGTACTACTTTTTACTGCCAAATATAATCTGGTGTCAAGCATGTATCAACAGAGTCTATACGTGTATCTGGTCTTATTTACAGTGGCCAAGTATGTCAGCTGTCTGGTTTAAACACATTTTAAACAGGTGATTTATTAATCTAAAGTAAATTTTACAGTTGCTTTCTTCTGAACAATTTTACTACATGCTCAAAGTTCAGTAAAAAGGAAAATGAAGGCAGGTGTTCTAGGGCATCAGAAGTAAAGGATGTTATTTTGAACAGAAATCCACGTAATATATTGCAGTCAAAGTTAAAATGGTGGAATTAGTTACTAGAGAAAGAAGAGACCTGTCTGGGACATCACTTCATTGTCTTGGGTGATTCTGTGACAATTTACACAAGCTAACATCTGTCTTTACATGTTTTATTAGCAGAAGTACAAGAAAGCACAATATTTATGTCCTTATTAGTAGCCTGCATTTCCCCCAAGAGTACTGTTTTTGTAAATAAACATTTAGAAAGACAATGACATTTAGAAATAGACAACAATACAGTTTGGCCTGGTCTTTATCCTCACAAAATTCTTAGTGAGAACCAGATCCTCATTGCCACACTTTACTGAGATTAACCCGTTAGACAAATAAGCAGAATTCAGATTTGTGTTAGTCTCATTACTCAGCCCTGCTTACATTTAAATTAGTTGTGGTTTTGCCACTGATTTGAGGGAAAGCAGGACAGGACCTTAAGCAATTGAGGTGGGCAGAAAGGTAAAAAAAAGCTTGTTCAGCTCTTTCATTAGCAGTTTCAAGCTCATTTGAAAAGATGACCTCTTTGGTATCCTGGAAAACAGATTCAGAAGCTATTTTCTGTTTCTTATTTCATTTTTCATAACAACAGAGCAGTGTCTCTAGTTACTTCAGAGAAAACAGATGTATATTTCTACAATAAACAACATATTATTTTTTCATGCAGGGAGAACGTGGTTTTGACGGACCAAAAGGCCCTCGTGGACTTCCAGGCATCAGTATAAAAGGTGAAAAGGTGAGCAGTAAATACACCAGGAGGTTAACAAAGTGCCAGTAAATCTACATAATACACGGTTGATAATTTACAACAAAAGGTGTAATGAGGCAAGGTCACTACAATAGAGCCTGGATAATAAGGTATTTTGTAGAGAGATTTATGCCCAATAAACTCTCACAACCTATTTTAACATCTCTTCATATTAAAACAGGAAATGTTACAAAAAGCATCTGATTCTGTGGGAAAGCTAAGGTTTAGAAAGGGATAAAGAGACTAGCAGTTGTTTGCCACTGAACCAGCAGGGAATAAATGCATATATGAAAGACAAAAGGTCAGATCCCCAACTTCACTGATTAAAGGGAAGTTAAATCAGCATATACTGACACAGGAGCTGTCCCAGATTGTTTCTGTATCTTTGTTTGCCAGGGTGAATTTGGTCCTCCAGGTTTACCTGGGCCAATTGGATTACCTGGGATTGGAATTCAAGGAGAGAAGGTGCAGTTTTCACTTACCCCTCACCTCACATTAAATATGTAATAACAGATAATATTTTTAATAATTAACTTATCTTTTCAGGGAGTTGAGGGCCCAAAAGGACCACCTGGCTCCAGAGGGCTACCAGGACAGGGACTACCTGGACCAAAGGTTAGGGTGTTTTCTGAACTAAAAGATACTGTGTTGTTTTTATTATTGTATTTCCTGATTAAGAAATGCTCCGCCTCCATCCTTATCCTTGTTAAAGTGCTGAATACCAATCTAAGTGTTGACATAGTTGCAGGAAATTATTTTCTTTATTAATATCATCAAACTGTAGAGCAGATCCTACTCCACTGAAAATTCTGGATAAACCAATGCTATAGCTATCTAGTTAGGTTTTGGCCTGGTTCACCACAGAACCTTTGAGGTACTACATACCAGATCGTGAACTGCACTTTGTCCAATACATTTCCATAGAAAGGGTTGTCTGCCTTGAATTTGCAGTTTCATCATATCAGATGCAGATATATTGAGTCAATTCCAAGAAGCAGTTACACTTTACACGGAACACCACCAAAATTTCAATATCATCTTTCATCCTCACTGTACTGTTTCCATTCCATAAATGTAATATACATACCTTACAGACCTGCTGCCTACTTTGTTCCTTCTGCTGCCTGTTGTCACACTTGACTTTGTGTATTTACTGTATATAGCAGTTAAGAAAACTGACAGAATAATTTAGTCTTGACTGATTAGCAAAATACAGATCTGCTAATGAAAAATGTCACCCTTGAAGTATTTGGACTGAAGATGTAAAGTGATTTTCTGGAAGAGATGATGAAAGTTTTGAATGACTGAAGGCAATTAAAGCATAGTATATAGGAACTAGAGGTCTAAGCGTCAAGGGTTCCTGCCAGGTAAAGTATTTTGCAACATCAGTGATCACCTTTTACATTTTGAGTGATTGTACTGGGATCTGCCTCACCACTGGTAAAAAGATAGAGAAGGCTGCATTGTCTGTGGATGTCAGATATGCTCCTGAAATACCAGCTACTTTGGCAGGAAAAGACATATAATTAGAGATTTACAGCATTAATCATTACCACCAACAGCTTTATGGTGACAGCTCAAATCGTGCTACTGATTCCCAGTCTTTGTGCCCAACTGTTTAACACATCATACTAATGAAAAAAATCTTCAAGAATTTAAAGACTAACAGTTCTTTAAATATAAGCACCCAAGAATATGCTTCTATATTTTTCCATTATAATGCTGTTAAAAACTAATTTCTGCTTCAGGGTGAACAAGGTTTGCCAGGAGAGACTGGAGTGCCAGGAGAAAGAGGTATTGGAGAACCTGGTTCTAAGGTACATTGTTAATAGAGGAATTATTTTTAGTTATTTATTTGAATTTGAAGTTTGTTTTTCCTGAGTATCCTTTCTGTAGACACATAAAAATAGGTTTAGAAATAAAAATCTAGCTTCTTAGTCTTCAAAATTTTTACCACAGCCTTTCAAGAACCTCCAGAAATAGGAATATTTTAAATACCCCAGTTCTGTACAAAAATAGTGACTGAAAATTTCCACCTGCCTGGCCAGTGCTCAAGTCAGACTTGCATACAGCTCAGCTAAAACTCTGTCCAGAATGCCATCAAGAATATTGAACAGTTGCCAGAACTCACAGCATAAGCTCAGCTATAGCCAGAGCTGGTGAAAAAAAGCACTGAACAGTGGTTATCGTTCTGTTTCTTCCCTTTTCATACAGGATAGGATGTAAACAGTACTTTTGTGATAGTGGAAAGACACAGGGCTATCCTGGTTTTGCTTTTGTTCGTTAGGGATTTGGGACACAGGTTGGAAAAGGAAAGAAACTCTTCAATTTCTTAAATTTCACAAAATATGATAATGCTGAGTGAACATATTTGACACCAAATGATGTTATTTCATCTGAAATCAGATCAAGCGCTTGAACCTTATAGAAATAATCAGATAAAAATTCTACTGCCATTAATAGATTTGCACTGATACTCACCAGCAAAATGTCAATCATCATGTCACAGTCAGCTCTATCTGGTATTTACTTCAAATGCTGCCACTTCATGAAATGATGGCATTATTTTTTAAGAATGATCTGGAGCATTATTAGCTAATAATATCAATCGCATGGATAAAATTTACAGTTCAAACAATCTGACAATAGGATTTTTCCAGACATGAGAGTTGTGTTGATTAAAAACCAGCAATATTTGGGTTCATATGCATAAATGTTTGCTACAAACACAGTTAAGTGAACTTTTAAAGACAGATTTCCTTAATTCAGAGAAAGAGTAGTACCAAGCCTGCGTTTAATAGAAGGACTTACTTTTTACTGATGTCAGGGTGAGCCAGGCCCTTCAGGACTGGCAGGTCTGCCTGGTCTTCCAGGAGAAGATGGAGCCCCAGGACAAAAGGTTGGTTCATCTCTTTCTGCACCCTACCTGTTTCCCTGCAAGCATTTCTACTGTTCTCCCTGTGCGGATACCCAAACCTAGAAGAGAGAGTGTTCTTGGACAAGGGGAAAAGTAGCACATTTCCTGGGGGGTAGGGGAGGTTGGGTTTGAAGAGGGGGAGAAATTCTTTCAAACATACTTTTTTAGGTAAAAGTTTTTCTTTTTTTTTTTTTTGGGGGGGGGGTGCGATGGGGGAAAGAGGAGGGGCATGTGTTTTACCTTGCTTACAGTTCTGGGGTCTTTTTAATCCACAAAGTGCCCTGCAACTCAGAAGGGAAACCACTAGAATGGCTAGAGGCATCCTTTCATAGCCTTCCAATCAGGGTATTTTCCTAAATTCAGAAATGCCACACATTTAAAGATTACATACATGCCACTTCATGCATTCCACACAGAGTTTTACAATGGTTGCTTCTCAATATGGAAAGAAAATCCTGGGCCCACTGACCTCAATGGGAGTTTTGCCGCTGACTCTGAAAGATCTATGATTTTAATGAGCTTATTCAAATGAATACAGAGTTGATCTTGCACCATGTCTATACAGCATTCTGAAATGCTGCTTTGATTTTTCTGTTCAAGGGTGAACCAGGTTTACCTGGTCTTAGAGGTCCTGAAGGTCCTGCAGGGATTGGAATTCAGGGGGAAAAGGTAAGACTTTCTTACTAACAACCCTAACTATTCTATGATCCTATGATTTTATGTGCACCAGCTAGAAGACAGAATTTCACTGTCTTTCACTGATACTTACAACTAATTTCAGTTAACATGTTCTTAATATTATTTGGTATGTGATATATCTTCTCTATTTTTGTAGGGAGATCAAGGTCAGAGAGGAATACGTGGATTAACAGGACCAACAGGAGTACCTGGACCTGCTGGAGCTAAAGTAGGTTTATTACCACATTATGTGCGTGTAATATAGGCACCTAAAGCTGTGCTTTGTTCTAGGTCTTGGAAAAAACTGTCCTGGAATTAAATTGCTTCTTAAAAGATAATTAAAATAAAATTCAGCGATGGCTTCTCTTAGCAAGGTGCACTGTGATCCCTAAAAACATCTAGAAGGATTTTTAAATAAATTTTGCATTTAACATATTGCTTCCCTGTCAGCTTGAAAAAAGTTAAGGGACACTAATACTGGTATTTTTATGATGAGATATTTAGGAAGATAAATGATATATGGCATAAACATATGTGACGGCACTTTATTTTCCCTTACACTCAATAATGGCTGATATACTTTTATGGATTTGGAGCTGCTATTCACTCAGTACTCACTGAAAGTGAGAGAAGGGCTACTCCAAGTTTGTCTTCCGCTTTCACATGAAGTGTTTTGCTATCTGTATACACAAGAGTGTGTATTTCCACACACTCTTTAAGATAGGAATTTTACCCCTATCTTCCAGAAGAGGAAAAATAGGGGTGAAAAAGTACACTGAAAGAACTATTTATAAAAATCTACTCTAACAGAAAAATACATGTTTTCAGTAGACCTGCACAGCTGGGCAGGAAGTCTGCAGTGCTGGATGAGCTGGACCAAGTCTCGAATACATTAGAAAGGGATTTCTAATAACATACATTTGTTCAGTGACCGAGAAGAACCTCATTTCCATTAAGAAAACAGAATCAACCTTTTTATCAGTTCTTCAAGTAGTTAGATATTACTCCACATAGAATAGAATCTTAGAAATTCTAACAGAATTTTAATGCAATGTTACAAATTATTACATAAATGCTTTCTCTACAAGTGGCTTATGCTCATTTTCCGAAAAATCCATTGGTTTTGCTCTCCTTCACTACAGGGAGAACCTGGTGCACCAGGACGTCTTGGAATGCCAGGCCCTCCTGGAAGAGCTGTGCCTGGACCAAAGGTAACACCCACACTCCAGCTCCTAATGCTTATAAACACGAGGTGAAAACTGTGAAGTAGGCCATGCTATTATTTGTGCAAATAATTTCAGCCTTATAAGCTCAACTAAAAATGAACAGTTATGAACTGTATCCACTCTAGTTACCACCATACCCTGGTATTAACTGTATGCCAGCCTGAGATGGCCTGCCTATGTTAATTTCTTATTTTAGACAACCTTGGATATCAAAATACTTTTCTTTTTTCTGCTTTTGGTGGTTTATGCTTGCAATGGCAATAAATAAAATTAGCTATTAATTTTATATATATAAATGTGTATAACAGAAATCCAAACCCACAGTCTGTGGCTGGTGTTTATTAAGATACATAACTAGAATATCTATTTTCTTCGTTGCAGGGTGACATTGGGTTACCTGGTCTTGCTGGACCAATTGGAGAACCAGGTTTTGGGCTTCCTGGGGCAAAGGTAGCTCCTAAATTGGTAAACTAATTTCTGGCAGAACTGTGAAATAAGGCAGGAGTTCAATAAGCAACAGCAAATGGCCTAGCATGGCCAAGTGTTTGTTCATTACAGTTCTTAATGTGTTTGTTGGACAATGATGGCAAAGTATAACAATTTGCAGAGCCAGAAAACCATGGATAGTCAACCTTCCAGATTCCTAGAACCATAAGCTTTTGTGGCAGAGAACTAGGAGAAAAATTACTGGGTTTAATTAATGAGGAGTGAATACAAAGTGAACACCTGATTTATGTGTTTACAACAGTCTACCTGTAAAGCATAGCTGTTTTTTCTCAGGCAGGCTCCTTTGCTTCATTCCTAATTTTGACACAGGGAAATCCACAGACTCAAAAAAAGATATGAGTACATAGGCCAAACTGGCAATATGAGAAGAGATGCCTTAGATAATGGAAGAAGTATGTTAACAAGTATCTAATCTCTAAGGACTTCTCTCTAGCACTTCTCTAGTACTGCCTCAGGGTTGCCTAGATTCAACTTTTGTAAGCTGCTCTTCATTCCAGATGGATTTTGTTTGAACAACAAGAAAGCTGGGACATACAAACCTTTGCTTCCCAAAATAAACCACATCCCTGCAACTTTTTTTTTTAACCTAGTGAATGTTTTAGTACTTTTGAGTAGAGCCCTTATCCCTTGCTCTTTGACTGAACTGAACACAGTAATAGAAGCATGAGAAACATGGAACAATCTTTAGCCCTTTTAATGGTTTTCAAGATCCTTTTTTTTTTCACCGGGGGAGATAATGATGATGATGGAATCATGTACTTTTCTGGTACAGTTCATTTAATTCAGAGCACTTCATGTTGTCCTGTTTCTGGGTATCCCACAGGCATCCATCAACAGGAAGCAGGTCCTTTGCCAAGAGTTGCAAGTCTCTCTCCCTCAGCCTTAAGCCCCCAGAGGTCTTTCAGTTGGGCAGCACTGCATGATTCTGTGGCTATGCTCTTCACTTTTTGCTGTCTTTGTCAGTATCAGTGGTTTTGCTGTTGCTTCACTCACAGACACATATCTGCACTAAGCTGTACAAAGCAAAACCTCTTACAGTCTCACTTTTTAAATTATTTTTCATGGGCCTTTGCTTGCTACTGTTATTCATACCCATATTTTGGTATCTACAGGGACAAACACAATCATGATCATCCATCCAGTTGTAACTCTGAGCAAATCACTGCACCAGCCAGTATGGCTGGGAGGATTAAAGTCCTCTTAGTTTCCCTGGTAAATTTCTTCTTGAGATACTCCAGCTATCTGGATCCACGAAAGGAGCTTAATTGTACATCTCCAATAGGAAGCTCCTGTTATACTCAATAGCTTTAATGAGGTTCTGCAGCATTATAGGAAGATACAGATCTGAAGGAACAAAACCAGCCATGAACCTTGTGACAGAAAACAACAGTTTTAAAACTGGTCACACAAACCATTGTTGTCCTCTGCCCTACATCCTTTATCTCACCACACAAACACACAGCATGTGCAGAGCTGTGGGGGTTTCCCAATACTCTGCAGCAGTTTATCTATCTGCAGTTATAAGAATTACATAAAGCAGCTACTGAGTAATTCAGTTCCCATGCTAGACTTTTGGCTGTCTGTCAACTTGGGCTTGTTCTCCCAAAGCTGGAATAATAATAAGCATGATAAAATTATGGGAAATGCAACTGAAGTCATTCAAGACAGAGCTCTTGAAAACAATTCAAATTAGTGGCTTAGCAATGAAAGGTCCTGTAAATCCTCAGGCTATTAAATATCCCAGTTTTAGTCCAGGATTAATAACCTACACTAATCATTCAGATAGTAAAATACATTACCAGATAGATAAAATCAAAGTACAGTATATTTGCCAAAGAAGTTTCACTTTTGTGGAAAATTTCCTACTAGCAATGGTTTTGGCATTCACCCCATCTGTTTTTCCTGCCTTCACCAGGGTGACCGAGGTCTTCCAGGACCACCCGGGCCCTTTGGGCCAAAAGGAGACGGTTATCCTGGCCCACCTGTAAGTTTATAGACTTTTTTATTAATGTGCATTGGGAACAAAGAGGTGCTACACCAAAGTGCTTGCATACATGGCTGACATGCTAGGAAAGATTTGCTGCTCTAGAAGTCTAAAAAAGCTCCTTAACTTTGGAAATGCATTTCAGCATAGAGGGAAAAAGAAATCTCCCAATGAAATAGTCCAAGATCTTCCATGTCCTCCACTTCTCCTGATTACACAATGTAATATATTCCAAGTGGGGAATATTTTTTGCTATAGTATCACTGATGTTTCAATCGGTTCTCTCAATGTCTTGATGTGGGATACTGTCTTCTGCCCAACCAAACAAAATTTATTCCCAAATAGGAGAATATAGTACAGCTAAGCAGCTATGTCCACATACATTCCAGAACCACTAAAAAAGTGTTACTGTCAAAAGAGCCAGAAGAGCAAACCATCCTCAGTTCTGTTCATCAGGTTGTTGGAAGTGTGGCAAAGAATTGATCTGCTTTACAGCCGTTTACAGAGGTCTTTACTGGTAAATGTGATGAATCCCTGCAAAAAGGATACAAAAAGAAAAGGTTTCTTCCTCTCACTTCCTTGCACATGTATGCAGCACTGGCCTCATGTATCTATTCTGCTCGACAGTGTGCTCCACCAGCCCTGTACAGTAATGAACTGTATGCCTGTGCAGTAAGGAAGTCCCGGGAAGATCGCTGGCGAGAATCAGGGAGTTTAGTGACACACTACCATTTAGCTATGCTAAAGACAATGGTAAAAAGGCATGCAATTGCCACACTGAGGAATAAAAAACAATGTCAAATGGAAATTGGAATTCAGTTTATAATACTTCCTAAGATTTTTGTGCAATCCAATGAAGAATTGCTTCTGTACCTGCTTCTCCAGATCAGACTCCTCTGTCTCCAAACACATTCAAGCCTTCTGCGTGACAGGCAGCACACATGCAAATGCCACTGGCACCACGTCTGACTTATTAGAGTGGAATTTAGCCAATTGTAGACCACGGTGATACCACTAAAAGACTATATATTCAAGATACTGCCATATTAATGTTAACAAAAGCATGTAGTCAATATAGCCATAAATTAAATTTATATTCTGTATGTGCATATAATTTCAGGGCTTGCCAGGCCTTCCTGGGATTCCTGGTGAACAAGGCCCAGATGGAGTTGGACTACCAGGACCTAAGGTACAGACTTCAACTGCTAGAAAAGTAAATGCATGTGTGCACTCCACTTAATGCAGATGTAATTTCTACCCATAGGTCACAGTCAGAATACCTTTTTAATCCAGCTTTAATTTACCTGTCAGTATGTAAAAGGTAGATCACACAGATCTTCAAGTTCCATTTCAGAACTCATCCTGATGCTGACTTCAGGATTATTGGATATATACAGGCAATTAAAGGCTTGACTACAGCTATTTAAATATACTTAATGTCTCTTAAAATTATTTAGATCTTTTTATCCACTCACGTCAAACTCCTGTCTGAAGGCACTGATAGGAAAAAGCTAGAACAGTGCCAATGTGAACACATTGATTCAAATGACAGGCAGGAAGCAAAAACTTTTTCATTTTTGGTTTCAGGAACATGGAGCTCATTTTATAATATGGGAATTGTAATTCCCATGTAACTATTGCATAATTGACTGTACATGTCTTGAAGATGTTTTGACCACTGTTTATCCCAAATAACTTTCTTGTCCTGACCGCAGTATTCATGGGTTAGCATTGTTTAGACTTGCACTGTGCTGTTCAATAATTCTCCTTGCTTTGCCCCATTTAAGTAGACAGATGCTGGTATCTATAGATAAATTAAACTTTGGTATTCACTACTTATTTTTTAAAGTATCGACTTTCAGGGTGATCCCGGTAGTAGAGGACCAGTTGGTCTCCCAGGTCCCCCAGGAGATGGCCTGCCAGGGTCAAAAGTAAGCCATTTAAACAATTATGTCTCCTATCTTCTAGAATTAATTCCGTTTTTTTACTGTAAAAAGTAAACCAATAATGATCTAATAACCAATATGATGATTAATCCCTGGAAAAAAGGACGACGACATAGGCCAGGAAATAACTGTAACTATAAAAAGCAATTTTCACTATGAAACCTCCCAGATTGGAAACCCTTATACTCCTACAGCTCAGCTTTAGAAGTCTATTAATATAATGAACTGGTTTAGAATGTAAACATAAATAAACTGAACAAGGTGAAATGCAAAGATTTTTCACCATAATAATGTATTGCCTGCATAATGTGTCTTATTGGTCCCAGAGATTCAGTTCACATTTGCATGAAGGCTAGGTCCAGAAGTAACCAGTGGTTAAGCACTTCCTCAGCCAGTGTTAGTCCCAAGGACTGGCATGTGCACAGGATTCTTACAAATGAAGAAACAGAGAATTTCATGCAGGGATACTGGAATAGGTAAA